TATGTCTCAACCTGGTAGCCTGTAAATCAATGTAACTGGAGCATGCAATATTTAAGAATGTATTGCTCGACAAAAAGAAAAACTTACTTTAAGCGTGAGGCACCAAAGCTTTCAGCAAATGGTATCAAATGTTCCATATTACTCACGTCAAACCCAGCTGCTGCAGCACGTGCAAAGGCCATTCCCTGTTCTTTCTGCAGTACCATTTTACGGGTTTCGAGCACTCTTAAAAGCTGAACTCTGCACAAAAAGCATTTGTGCATAAGATACAGGAACAATTTCATTACTTAAAATAATTATGTAATATAATTAAGATGAAAAGATAACATATGCATCCACAGAAGCCAGAGATCAATTCTTTGATTACCATTGCAATCATGTAAACTACGAGAATCTAAAAGAATGTAGGTGTTGCCTTTTTTCGTTATCTTGTAATTAACTAGTGCTTTTAAAATATTGAATGGAAAAGACAACACAATTTACCTTGCATTTTTGGTAGAACATTCTTACAATTATTCTTGTATGCTGAAGGAGCAAACAGCAAAGAACATAAACCAAGGACGTGTTAAGCTTCTGATACCTTGAGTTTGCCTCCTGTGTGGAGGATCCATTTGAATCTGGGGGATTTGATTGTGAACCAGGCTGCCATAACAAGAGAAACCACACTTATAACAATGTCTGATAGACAGGTACCAGAATTATAGTTAGGTATAGGTGTATGCATAGGTGTGTCTATGAGACCAGGTTACCATGAATCTCTTGCTGTATCGGTATCGAATTAGTGCTAGACATCAATGCATGTATGATCCTTCCAATATACATATTAAATGATTTCTCAAAATATTTGATTTTACAAATGATTATTTATCTCGTATATATATAGTGTTGATCTTGTGATAAATCAAGCATTTTTTAATATCATATCTGAGCTGTATTAGGTTCTTTCTCAACATTTGACATGAAAATGTCACTCAGTACTGTGTCATATTGGTATATCATAAAAGTTTCTAAATTATGTAAATGTAAACAATAAATATGTATGTGTGTGTGTGATGTCTGCATAAAATCGATACCTTATAAAGAATTATTGCCTTTTCTGTGTTAGGATCAACTGAGGTCTTCATACCTGCCATGAGCAAGCAACTGTACCAAGGTCAAAATTTTCAAGAGCACCAGTGGAACAGAATCTAAAATCAACATGAAAATGTGATGAGTCCATGCCATATATGGTTGATGAAGCCAATTATAAACAATCCTTGAGAGTTTCGATTATAGAGGCTACTAGCATATAAGATGTATGAACCCCTCCTCATCAAGATTTCCAATATTCATTGGAGGAGCATGACCAGCTTCCATATGGAGGTTAGGAGGTGATCTGATCCTGATGAAAAGCCATTACAGTATATTTTGTTACTTGTGAAAAATGTTGATCATGTCAAATAAGTCTTCTTTGATGATGTGAACATACAATTTATGGTTGACAAAAGGTTCACTACTAGAAGGAAAGAATACTGTTCCTGCTCACAAGGTGATTGAGGTGATTAATCAACCCATGTTGTGGAGACTATTATAAAGATATGATGGAAACTTGATGAAGACTACAATTTTTTAGCCCTTTGGACTATATCAAACACACCCTTGAAATTAGAAAATTGATGTTACACATGCAACAGAAATAATTGAAAATCCCTTCCACTTTCTTTCTTTTTCTTTTCTTGAGGAGTAACAGAACTAGCTAGATGAATGAAATAGGTTAGTCTAAAGTACCTTCTGTGGAACCTGATGACTTCATTTGGTGACCTTCCACCTGCAAATGGCATAAAAAAAATGTCATTTGAACTTTACAAACAACACAGAAATGAGACAAATGGATACATACAGTGCTCAGGCCAAGATTATCATTGCCCTGAATGGCAATTGCATTCTCAATCTGCAAGATCTCAGACTCTATTGTTGACACACGCTCTAGAACCTCAGGCGTGCTCACGAAACGAACAAACCTGTTGGTGTCAGAATTAGATGTTGAGTTCATGTATGTAAATATTTCCACATGCTCAAGTTTCTCCAAGAAGATGAAATGCAGCTTGATAACGGAGAAGGCAGACAGGTCATGTTTGAAGAGAAGCAATTACTCTGACAATGATTGCACACTTGAGAGAGCTTTGGTTTACCTCTCCATGGTGCCTTTGGTGAACCATGCTGCATCACTTTCCAGGTCTGGTTTAAGAACTATGGAATAGCCACCCTTGTCAATCTGATCCTGTGCAGCTTTCAAATGGGCAAGAAAAGGATTCAACAAGCCAGTTGCAATCTTCTCTGTCTTACCATTTGCTATAATGACCAGATCGCACCTGTTAAAAAGGAAAGCACAAGTCCATAATAAACAAGCATACCCAAAACCATCTACTTATAATTTATTCAAGCCTAAACCTTAAGGATCATCATCCATATCCAGGGTTGTGAAACAAACCAAGAACCAGAAATCAATTTTATCGTGCACTATATTATGTGAGCAATGATCTAAAGAGGTGATAGAAACGGAGATGGATTCATATCAATTCAAATGATATCACCAACTAAACTAGAAGTCTCAGTTCAATTCTTATCTTCACATCAACTGAGCAGTAAAGCATGAACTGTAACCACGTTGTAACGAAGGAATCCACCAGAATTTTGAATGGATTCATGTCCTCCAAATCCACTTCCAATGAGTGCAGAAATCTATGAAGCTCTCCAGTTCGGACTCTACGAGATCTTGTCAACTCATCGACCGGCTCTTCCCACATTCAACACTACACCATCAAAAAATCTTCCAAGATCCGAACTTTGGCCGATCTGGCAACTTCTCGGTCTCGTTCTATCCGCCCTTGCTCGAACCTTTACAAGAAACAGTGGCCGAGGAAAGGATCTGGCATTTTACCTGGTCCGAGTAGGCGTTAGCTGGAACACCGCCGAGTCTAGCCGAGCGTCCAACCTCATTGCACGCGGAAGCAAAGATCTTCCACGAAAGACTAAATCTTCGATCCTTTCCCTCCCTCCCCACCTCTCCTCTCTCCACTATCTGCCCTCAATCTCCCTCTTTGGCTCACGATCGATCAGATCTCTGTCATAGGTAGGTTCTTGCTATGAAAAGCGACGCCCTTTTGCCTGAATTTAGATTCACGGAGGAGCAAAAGCAAAAGCCTAAACCAACAAAGAAATTCAAGGAAAGAGCAATAAGCAAACGGCGACGGAGAATGCTACTAGATTCCTCTAAACTGGATCTTTTAATGCCGACTGCAGGAATAAGCAGAAACCAAAGGTATAAATTAGATAGAGAGTAGAGAGGAGAAGGAGGAGAGGGAGGAGGAGGAGGAGGAGAAAGAGGACGGCTGTAGGCTCCCAAAAGAAGAGCTTGCGAACAATGGCAGCAGACTAGGGTATCAATGCACACAACCCAAAGAACAGAGGTAAAGAGAAGCGCTGCAGATGAAGTGAATTTGGCCTTGGGGAAGAAACAAACAAAGCTAACAATTTAAGAGAGAAGGTGTGGGGGACGAAGGTGAGGAGAGAGAGCGAGGCTTTGGATTCGGACAGGACAACCGGGGAATTGGTGGAACAGAATAAAAAGCAGAGTGCTGTAGTCAAAATAATGGTGGAATATGAATGAGAGTGAGTGAGTGAGAGAGAGAGAGAGAGAGAGAGATGGTATGGTGGCTCAGAAGAGAAGGAAGGCTTTGAGTGAAATGGAGTAGAAGGAAGGTGGGGTCCACGTGAGCCCCTGAAGTAGAAGGACATTTCTGGGTTCTTCCGGTGGATACAAACTTGATAGAGGAAAGTTTATCCCTTTTTTGTTGCTTCTTTTTAACATCATCATCCTACTGCATAATTTTCCTTCACAGAAAACAAATCCATGCAATCTCAGAGGAGATTAAAACTCTCATGTTTCTTCTTTTAGGAAGATAAAGAACTATATGTTCTGTAATCAAAATAAGAAGAAGAAGAAGAAGAAGAAGAACAATAAAGTTTTAAAAGGTATTCTTCAAGTCAAAATGTGGGTGGGAATGTATGATTTGGTATGGCAATTAATGATTGTGGTGCAGGCATTGAATGAACTTTTCTGCCAAAGTTAGAGAAACTTGTCATGTTGTCTTCATTGACAAGCTGGTCATGAACATCACAAGGCATCAATCTCTAGCTTGGGCAGTGTGGGGGAGTGAATGCAAAAAGTTAACTACTTAGATATCACAAGGCATTAATCTGGATATCACTTACAAGGAAAAAATGAACTAGTTAGATACTGAAAGCTGCATGCTAACCCTTCAAGAACTGTGACATTAATGGTGGCAAAAGTTTTCTGATTTAGACTAATAAAATACACTCTTGAGGATTTGGAAAGCAGTGTCCATATCAAACCCAGTAAAGTAAAATAAAGTAAGTGATCATATTGGCCTCTGTGTGGTGGGAGAGATGGAGTGAGACTGGGAATTTACATTGTTTTTGCTTTTGCTTTGAAGAAACAAGATTGGCATCTTTGGACCCACATCATACTGTAGCTTTACAACAATAATATAAATCAATTCAATGGACTGTACTATGATGCCTTTCGATCTTCTTTCTATGATGCCTTACAACAATAATATAAATCAACTCAATGGACACACATTAACCTTCCATATGGTAAAAGTCTCATGCAGTGGATCGTACTTTTTTTTGTTTTTTTGGTTTACATCTAATCTGAAAACCGGATCAAAAGAGATTTTTTTGATTTTTGGTTTACATCTAAGCAGGTGGATCATTGTTGTTGACTCTTCTCCTCTTACTATTGTTTCTAGTAATTTATTAGACTTAGGTAGAATTGGAATGTCCTAAGAAATATTGAGGATGAGATGAACCTAATTTGTCTTAACAACAAACATGCCATAATACCATCTGGGGAAATACACTCATGCGAGGAGAGAAATACCAATAAAACTGCTATTGTACTCCCAAAGAATTGTAGGAACAAAAATAAATTAGCGGAAAGAAATGGATAATGGAAAATCATATCCTTAGATTGGTAGGTACCCCATCTACAATGATGTGATCAACTGGAAAATTGGATTTTTCTTCTTTGAAGCAAACAAATGTCTCACCTTATGTACTAGGCATTACCGGATTTGAGCAACACACTCCCAGAATGCCCACCTACTAGCTTTCAATCACCATGAAAGCAAAAAAACCTTTGCAAGTCATGAAAACATACATTTACAACTAAACCTTCCTGATGAAATTGTAGAAGCTAAAATTTGGGCATGCTTCTCCAAATTTCCACCAGAGGAATATCTGTCTGATGCAAGCCTTTATCTGATACAATCTGTATAGATGCTCCAAGCAAGTCAGCTTCTGGGAAGCGTCCAGAATATCATCAAATGCTTCTGTCAGGCCCCTAAAGATGAAAATGACAAAGAGCTCAAACTAAATAAGCAATCAGATTAAAAAAAAGAAAAGAAATGCTGATGTGTATACATACATGTAAGCTACTGTTGATGAAAGAAAATGTTTTGTACCTACAATTCAGCAGATTAAGCTCAACTCTTCTGGAACATAGAACTAACCTACAGGATAGGAACAAACGAGTCTCAACACTAATGAGAGTAGAAAATGGAGATAATCCACTTTTTCTGTTTTAAATGGATATTTTTGCAACAATATCAACTTTTGGAGTAGACTGGGTAAGTACAGTATTATGTGATACCATCCTAATCAATTATTCTGATCAATTCACACACATCAAAGAGATAGTAACAGTTCATAATCTAACTCCAAAAATGAGATAATATGACATTATTTTGCTCAGGAATTCTTTCTCCCAAAAAAAATTGCATGCCTGGCCATCATACTATTTTTTCATATTTAGTTAATTCTCATGTTTCAGCATTAAAAGACTTAACAAGAAAATGAAATCAGAAGATGATGCCATGGAATTATTTTATACGAGTAGGTATATGAACAATTCATGATTCAAATTTAATAAATTTCAAATATTCCATTAAAATCTGTCTCAGTAATTAATTGAAATTTATAGTTGACTGTAGCACTAATTTCTTCCTGCTAGCGACTGCAACTAATGCCTTTCTTGGATAAAAGTTGCACCATACAAATGGAACAATTAAAAAATTAGAATATCATGGCACCCCAAAAAATGAAAAATCAACAAAAGAAAGAGTTGCTCACCATAAATAATCTTTTCTTTTATTTTTGGCAATGAACCATAGATTGTATTAAAAGGGAGCCTCGAGTGATTCATCCCATATGTCTCCGCTTCCATTGGAGGCATCTTCACCATCTTCCTCCATAGACAGCCTAATATATTCTCTATGTGCAAAACGATCCCACTCAGTCAAAGTTGGATTTTCACGTTCCTACATGAACAATTACAAGAAGAACAAGTTACATTAGACTGATGAAGCATGTTCCTTGTGTTCAAGGAAGTTACAGTTGCTGACAAAGCAGAGAGATTCACTCACCTGTCGAATTAGAAATGGATCACGTGTTTCAAATGCCATGAATTTGTTGAGATTAAAGAGGATGTTAAAAATATTTCCTGAAAGTTTGCCGCCTTTCAAGTCATGCAGTGTAAAATAGCTTTCATTCTGCAAGAAAAAATTGCCAATTTTAAATTTTTTCCCAATCTCATCCTATCCTACAAGTTGGGAGAGTTGGTCACCTCTGGACCAATCATATCAATCATCTGGCATAATATGTCCTCAAAGAGTACAGGTTCTTGTGCCATACATTCCATACGATGCAACTGTTCCTCATAGAAAAACTGCATCTCGTTGGCAGTTAAAATTCCATTACCATCCAAATCTATACACTTGAACCTGAAAATCAGTATATTCATAATAAATATTAAAACGAGAAAGGGAGAACAGTTCCAACCAAAGACTAACCAAACAAATTAATGTAACACTCAGAATTCTTCTATTTCATCATTCACATGGAACAACAATAGAGGTGCAGTAATGCCAGCTACTGTTTGCCATCAAACCACCATGAATTGTTAAAAAGGAGGCCAGAGTATAATCTCCAAAATAATGTAGAAAAATTAACCAAGAAATTGACATTCAAGGGTATGCCATTACACCTACATTTACACGCCTAGGGCTGCCTGCAATGTGACATGTGCACTAAGGTGATCTTTTAACCAGTGGGCTATCATGTTTGTAAATAAGTCACAATCGAGCAAAATACTTAATAGCAAATCATGTATGACTCTAGTAATATGAATATGAAGAAGTTCCACTACAAGGTAAATTGTCACTTAAATGAATGTCCATAGCCAAGTATCCAACAAGGAGACATGAACCTGAAGAGAGAAAAAATGTGGTCTTATGATATTATCATAAAATGGTCACATATTTAATGGGTTTAGGATATTAGTAACTCTTCTCTTGATAACAGATAATAACTGTCATGTTGGGAAAAACTGAAACAAATATAAAAATTTAGCAACAAAGATGAATAAGATTTAATTTGGTTGACAGTTAAGTTATGGATTGTTCCTTGGTGCCAGCATGAGAAGCATACACAAAAAAGGATGTTGAGATGATCAATTAATAATTATCTCCTAACCAAATAAATGACTTCTTCAACAAAAAATTATATAGACGTAGTGGCAGGCTATATATGTCAGACCAAAACATTGGGAAATTGGTTATCCATCTGGTATAAGACATTACAACACCTCAAAATGTTTGTCAGTTAAACATGAGTGCTCAGTCATCAACATATGAGAAGAGCCTAGACCAAAATACAACCTAACAAGAGCTTTCGAGGCAATCCAATATTCTTCCCCCAATGTTTCTTCTCTTAGTAGGAAATCTTCACTATCGCATGATCTGGACAAATGCTCGGATAAGAAAATGTCTGTATGTCTGTCAAAAGTTCTTAATCATCAACATATGATAAGAACCAAGACCAAAATACACTCTTACATGGGATTGGAGGCGTGCCAATATTTCTTTCCTCAATTTGTTTCTAGTAGGAAATTCTCACTGATTCATGGTCAGCATGGGCATGTACATCAATAACATACCCACGACTTAAATAACACAAGGAGAGCAAGTTTAGTGAGTTAAAGAAGCTTATTAGAGAAATATCGATAAACAAAAGTTTTGACTAAATACAGTTTTATCTTATGACTCATGGTGATCTATAATGTGTAGCGGATCTTCATGTTATTGTATAACCAAGTTGTCAAACTGTTACAAATTGACAACATGTCATAATGATCAGAAGACCTAGAATTATTAACCAGATCCATTATGTCACTAAAAAAAATCTTCCAAGGAAGTAAAGCCAAGGTGGAAGAAATTGTGTTTAATCAGATAATATAATCATAAAAATCATGCATATCAAATCTAAAGATTTATTATCATCAAAAGTTTGCACAGAATTGTCGCTATTACCAATACTCAAGGCTAGGCTCAGCTGATTTATCCTCCTCTGCTAGTATAAAATACACAAAATCTTCATACCCCATCTTCCCGTCAGCCTTGCTTTTAAATTTTCTGGGAACCTAGATGGCAATTAAAACACATTAAACATCACGAACAAAATCCAACAACAATGATCGTTTGTACAACTCTTGACTATCACATGTTATGCTAGACTCCCAGTATTTTGAAACAACAGATTGATGCAAACCTGTGAAAAGATCCTTTCAACAATTCTATAGGTTAGCGCATGGTTTCCATATCTGATTAGGTTCTCTTTATCAATCAAGAAATCATGATCTGTATCAAGCTCCCAAAACTTACAGTATATCACATAGAAGTGCTCGTACGAAAAGTACCTGCAGGTATAAACACTATCAGAACAATGCTATTCTCCACTGTAAAATGATCCTAATTACTTACACAATGTACAAATTTGTGAAACAATTATTATTAAATACCAATGGTTCATAATTGGTGGCACTAATTACCAAGACCAACAATCAAAGAATATCAGGCTGGCATATAACGTATAAAATAATTTCAAACATAATAGTATAAATGAGCTGGAATGCAACTGCATATTTAAGAATTATCATAATCAGTTCGCAATTACCATCAGGAAAAGGGTAAACCTGGTGTGTGAGGCTCTCATCAATACGAAGTCACAATATATGCAACCTTACCCCTGTAACTAGGAAGGTTGTTTTCGTGACTAAAACCTTGGTCACCAGAAGGGACAACATTGTCGATGTACCAAAGCTCGACCTCATAGCCATTACCATGTGATGCAGCAATGTAAAAACAAGGGAGACAAAAATGCAATGAGTTCAAAAATGTGATTTTCGCTTTGGTTGACCAACTCCTCAGCTTCCAATTTAAAAGAAATATATAAGGCTTAGCATTCAGTTTATTATTTAACTTCTATCACGAATTGTCTATGCTATTTAAATATACTGAAACTAATGGAATTTTCAACATGCAAAACCAGTAGTTTTCATATCTGTATTGACCAAAACTGATCTTTCTCCTAAGAGCTAGTTTTAGCTTGAAAGTTTCGATAAATTTTTAAGCCTTCGTATGTACCAATAATACAAGAAGGTTCTCCATAAGCACTACTATTTTGAACAAATCTCAAAATCATCAAGTCTAGTCTTAATGAACATGCCAGAACAAAGGATTCCATTACAGACATTTTCACATTAAGCCCTACACCAACTAAGACTGGACATTGTCAGATACCATCATTTGCTAGATGCATAATAGAAATTGAAAATATAATAGCACCTACAGGCATTTATAATACAATATTATGTAAACTTGCAAATCATATCAAACAGATCTACAAGACATATATAAGAAGCACATCAGCAAAATGTCACCTCAAAACTTTGTTAATATCTTCTTCTTCTTCAGCATGTTGCATTGCAGCAATTAAATCTCCATGTTTCAGTTCTCTGAGGGTAAGTTGACCATTTCCAGATCTATTCATATAGTAAAAAATTCTGTATATGACAGTTTCAGCTGGCAAAAATGTTCCATTATCAAATGAATTAGAAAGAGACGCTTTCATGGCGTTCAGGAAGTTTGAAAACCAAATATGATTAAAACATTTTAAAATGTCATAGAACACACGGTATTAGATGACAACTACTGTTTGTAATTATCAACCTTGAATATGCAACACAAGGTGGAATTATCAATAAAATACATGAGTAACAGCCTAAGACAACTGAATCGTGATATGAAAGAAAAGGTGTTTGATGAGCATGATGATTATAAGATGTGATGAGAATCATAAACAGGATGAGTTTGACCTGCCATCAACACAACATGTGCCAAGAAACTACATGATATCCCATATATAGTAACATAAAGCCAAAAGTAGTAGAATTCTCACAGCTTTTTCTTCACACGTAGACAGTAAATGATAATTTGCTGAAGTGTAAATATCTTGCTGATTTTAAAATGATAACTACAGCAGCTAAACATACAATAGAAACTAAATCTTAAGTATTTAAATTATACACACAATAGAATAGGTCTAAAAAGAAATTATTTCAGCAAAATAAAATAGGAATCCACTCAACTATACAATTTTACTGCCAAGGACCATACATTGAAGACTGATATGGTCATCGATGTTGTGCAGATTAGGTAACTGATAACTCATCTCTCTTCTCTGTCACCTCCTTTCATATTTTATCATCACCTTGCACATGCAGTTCAATCAGAGAAGAAAGCCTGTTGGTTCATTCAAAGGCTTTTTGGTGTGTCCTAGTGTTCCTTAACTCTAAAAAGCCAGAAGAACATCTTCCTGTTCTTTCTAATCACAATTAATAGTTCTTTCAAATATTTTAACTATAAGATTCATTAACTGGATAGACTATCAAGTGCATGCCTTCCTACAGTCTCATTCAAATTGTATTGGACAGCTATGAAGAAAGAAAACATATGTTGTCTAGTATGTCAGGCTTCCTAGAGAAGATTATGCTCTATACATCACATGATAGGTGTAGCTCATCAAGTCAGAGAAGCATTTAGAGTTGATGAAAAGTATACCCCTTGTTTTGTCCATTAAGAACATAGGGACTCTTTGATGCATTCCCTGCATAGTGAGCTCCAATTCCAAGCCATGTTGGCCAAGGAATCATTGTCACCCAATCCCTCTAATTTTGCTACCTTAACAAGTAGGTATTAACTATTTGATGCTTAAACAATTCATAAAGAATATTACAGACCTCTACAAGTTATTAAGTGGTTACACTAGGCTTTTTTAAAGGTTAGCCTCGTCAATAAAAGCCACATTCTTGTTTTACTCACAAGAAGTCATACTTTTGTCACATGTTGATAACTATGTCATACATCACATAAGCACATTATATTGATAAATCCAGAACACTACAAAAAAGAATAACTACTAAATACTATTGTTGTCAAAACATATATCAATCACTCATTGCTGGTACGATACTATTCATTTTTAATTTTTATTTTATTTGATATTTAAATCCTTGCTACAAAGTCTCTTGAAGCCCGAGTGCAAAGCTTAAGTGCATACCTTTAAGGAAGAATGTTCAATTGACTAATCTTCTCTCTTTTTTTTTTCAAAAAACAAAACATCTATCATTTCAGAACAAGTTTTTGCATCACATAGATCTCACAATCAGTAATGAAGACAATACTAGTAGAAGATGTACAAAATTATTGAGATCTGCCCTCTAGAAACTGGGCCTTTAAAAAAATAACTCCAGACACACATTTAAGGAATGCATCAATGAAGGATATGAGCATTATGTAAGGGAAAGGTCAAAATGTGAAAGATTGTCCTCAACAATTGAAACTTATAGAAAGTAATCCATTAATTTATGCATATTACTGGCATGTGGCAACTTAAATATCACAAAAACAGGCATATTTCAAGCATAAACCAATACGGTCAAATGATGGATGCCATTCGAATACAATCAACAAGACCATGTATTTTCAAAATGCATATAAGTATCACTTCGAGAGGAGATCTTTGTCATTACAAGAGATATTCAAACAGACTGTCTTTTTGGTTTTCTTTCAGATTACAACACAGCAACACACAGTAATAAACAAATCAATTTTTTGTTTAACCATTCAGAGTACCATAATAGAACAATGACCATTTGGCATTTGAACTATTTATCTGCTACAAACAGCGTGTCATACATATACAAGTATATAATTTGTGAAACTAACATCATGGTATATCAGCCAACCAACTTATCCAATGTCAAACATAACAAGATACTTAATAGCATAGATTTATTTGTCATTAGTAAGAACTCACCATATCTTTCCTGAAATTCAGGTGTCCCCTGTAGGAACTCCAAACCCGGATGGGTTGCCAGAAGTTCGCGCAGGACTGGTTTAAAGTCCTCCTACAGAAATTTAGAGTAAATAGAAACATACAATTCAATATAGGAGTATTGAAATCCTAATATCAGTACTTGAAGAAATAACACTGTTCCATAATTAATGCACCATTGACCTTATACTTCAGTGACTATAATAAGTGTGCAAACAACTCCCTAAGAAATAGTTTTTTTAAGTGCTTTGGAAAAGATAAAGAAGACAAACCTGAGTGAGGTACTTGCGATCTGCTTGCTTCAAAATTGTAAATATTTGTGTAGCTATATCCTTTGTCATCATGTTGCCATTGACCCAATAAACGATAAATGCATCCCTAATATAGTATCAGAAATGACCAACTAATCAAAGTTGTGCGAGGAGTACCTCCAATGAGATAAGACAAACACAATAAGTAAATGGCTAAGCCTTTTTCTAAATAACCAATGAACCTACATGATGTAGAAGCAAGAAAATAGAAATGAAATAAATGGCTATAATCAAAGAGGGATGAGCCCAGTGGAATTATCTAATTACATAAAAAATAACCATGTTGTTGCCTGTCTTTGGTATCACACAAAGCATAAGGTGACTTGACCAGTGACCAACCAACAAAAAGCAATCTTGTATATGTCGCAGACGATATTAAGTTACTCAAGAAAAAGCTTCAAATGTACTGCATGTCAAGCAAACTGGTGTACCTAAACTCACACATGCAAATGCACCATGACAATGAATGCACTTTGCTCCAAGAAACTAAGGTTTAAAAGATACATTCACCAAATCTTTTCTAGCTCTGTTTTCACAAGGTCCAGCCCTCAAATATATATCACTAAAAACCCATAACTTCGAAAGGCCAAAACCAAACACTTTAAAACTTTCCTATCTATGGTCCAAGTCATATTAATGGTGGCCTAGTACATGAGGCTAAAAGTTCTGAGAAATGTCCAAGGTGGTTTGCCATCACCTTCCTCATAACAAAAATCTAAAATCAAATCCAAGTCCATCTGTAATAGAAGTAGCCATATCTAACCTACATAAGTCAATAAACAATTTGAATCAGGTAAGGACAAGGATAACAACCATCAACAAACTTAGAAACGGTGTGACCTGCTTACACAATTTAACTCGACACCTTGAACCCAATTAACCTATTAATGATGCAATTTATCAACATAGTATAACTAAATATGACATATTTGACAAATTTAACCTGATTATTCATGGGATCAATTCAGGTCAGTCAGGTTGACTACTGAGATAAGTAAGATTTATAGTTTAAATCCATAGAGTCCAAATGATCCTGCTAATTTCATTTCACATCAAGCCGAGTTTAGGATCAAATTAAGAATTGCCATCATAGTTGCATATACGACTAGCAATTCAAGTTCTTACACCCAAGTCACAGAAAAAGCAATCTTACTATGGGGCCAAGACACACAAAGTCACCATATTAGAATATTTTTATGATGGCTAGCAAGTAGCATGTGCAAGTATATTTCCAGATGTAAGGGCATCTGGGTATAGAGATATAAAATTTTATTTAATAAATATATGAAGGCCTAGTTATCCCCATACACTGAAGATGGAAAGTTTGACACAGACCTTCTAGCTGACCTAAAAGTTGAGTGTACAAATTACCTGACTCATCATCCAAAAAAGACCATCTAATAGACTTAAAATTTGCAATTTGCAGCCTGCAGTACTACTACAACAACAAAGCTGTAATATCCCAACAAACCTGCAGTACTAACGCTTACTAAATGGCAACATCACATTAAGTTATCAAATCAATGGCAGACTCTGGTTCTAAAAGAAACTCAGTTAAGATAGTAGTAGTTGTAGGCAATGAAGAGAATGAACCAATCCATGTTAGTTGTCGGACACTTGATACATTAGGCCTCTCATGATGAGGAGCAATGGTTGAAAACAAAGATCAATAGAAATGGGGTTTGTGTGGATGAAAGTTGTCAGTTGTCTCTACTAAGGAGCAACAACAAATATAATAAGCCTTTGAAAGGGATAAGACAAGTTCAGACAAATAATCAATGGACAATCAGCAGTTTTATCTTGAAGATCAAAAAAATGGAAATGAAAATCAAACAAATATATGCAACTAAATAACTAATACAAGTTTAAACAATGAAATGGAACAACTCAAGCTCCTAAAGAGCAAAGCATAGAACAGTGTGCTTTATAAATCTTGATTCTGATGAGCTATACCTTGTCACCATTCCAGTGCATTCCACATCAATCTTTCTAAAAAGAGAACTTGAAAGAAATGATGGCAACTTGCAGATTTCCTTCGTAACTGTTTTGAATTCTAAGAAGGAAAAAGTAATAATCTTTAGCCAGTTGATATGGAATATAACACACGATTATAAGTCTTACAACATTAGTGCATATTCACCTTGGATTTGTAGTCCATCCATGTTACCAAAGAAAAGATAATCAATTCTAGATAAGCATTGATCTTTCATTGCTTTTGGAGGTGGACGCCCATTTTGGAAATAGAACTGTGTTGACATCAGTCAGTTAAATCAGAAACCCATTAGCCACCTAGAGGAGATGTTTTGGTCTGAATAGAACAAAAAATTGGTCAGCAGTTAAAATACCTGAGGTATAACTTCTTTGACAGGTTCACTCACTAACTTTAATGGAGAACCAAATGGTGAAGGTCCAGCTCCTGAACTACGCTTCATAAAACGGGGAGATCCAGAAGTGCTTCTAGGTGAGAGAGGAGGTGCACTGCCGGCAGGAAACATGGACGGCAGTGAACTGTTAGTGGCAGCATTCGATGTACTAGAGCTGCCAGCAGCATTTAAAGGTGAACCTGATTTCACATCTTCAATCAATGACTTAACCTGAAATCAAAAAGAAAAACATTGGCAGGGCAAGCATAATTACTGGGCCTTATATCTGGATTTCAACCTAGGACATATTGCACTCTAGATGTTTTAAGAGTACAACTTATAAAGAAAACTGACATCGATCGACAAAGTGGAAGTCTTGTATAAAAATATAAGATAAAAATGATTTATATGCCACTGCTGCATGAGAGGCAAGCAAGACCTTCTTCTTTCTTTGGGTATAATCTAAATGATCTAAATTATAATTTATAAATAGGAAATTATGATGCATAAAAATTTTACTAGACATAATATCTTGATGTCATGTCTGAAATGAGTTATACCAATACAGGATACAACATAAAATATAAAACAAGAAAGCCATTTTTCCATGACAGACAGCCACAAATTCAAATCAAAACTAAAATGTAAGGAAAATAAGTTTTAAGTGCCCTTAAGAGATATGTTGTGTATCATAATTAACCACCACTCAAATGATGTTGCCTTTAAGAGCATCCATCACGAAGAACAAAACCAAAATATGATTATATAATGAATTATACTTCAAATCTGAGTCTATAGGGAGCGGGACCAACAGAGCACCATGCACAGGCAGAATGTAGTTAGCTTGTTGTTTAGAAAAGCTAGGTCTTCAGAAAAGTTTCAGTTAACAAAAAACTGTAGAATTGATTCCAGATAATTCTAACAAAGAAAATATATAGACCTTTCTGCATTTCTGCTTAGGAGATCCGTCCCATTTTAGAAATTGAGTATCTACAAAGATAATGAAACTTAATAAAGAATGCAGTTATTTCGAAAGAAAATACTTAAATGCCCCTTCTAACACCACAAGAAATTAATAAGATAAATTTCAGAATCAAGGCTAAATCCTCCATGAAGCCAATTAAGCTAACCAATCTCCAGAAACAAGGAGACCGTCCTGAATAGATGACTAATTAAAGTTCTTCCAAAAGCGTCATCGACAACAAGAACGTCTACGATGCTATGCAGAAATGAAGCTTCCACCACTTCCTACTGATGAAACGAAGGGAAACATTTTCATTGACTGGCACAAAACAAATAACGAAAGAATACGTACCAATTTTCCCGTTTCTGGCAACGAAAGCCACTGGAAATACAGCTCTTCAGCCATTTTAGGTCTCTCCTTGAGAGCCAAATGGGACAGCTCCGGAAGCTGCAGAAGCTCCGGGTCAAACGACGCCACGTACCTCACCGTCTCCGAATCCATTCCAGCCAAGCCCTCTCCCTCAACAAAACGAGGAAAACCGACAAAAAGAATGCAAGAAACCCTAGCCCCCAAGTCCCCCTCACAAAAAGAATCAAAAAACTAAATCTTTCAATTCAAGATTCAAGGTGGACAAACCCTAGGTCCCCAAATCGGATCCTCTCCCTCCCTCCCCTTCCCTATCCGAACCAAAGAATCCAAACCCTTAACCCAGCCGTCGAATTGATCCAAGAAACCCAAGATTGGAAGCTGAAAGCCTGAAGAAGCTTCAGATCGACTAGGATCAGTGGGATCCTCCTGGTCTCCGGCTGCGGAGCTTCATGAAGCGAGATCGCCCTCGAAATCAGTCGCTCAGGAGGCCGCGCCCCATCGAAATCGGAGGAAAGTACGAGGATTTTATCGGGAATGAGATCGAATTCGGATCGCAGAATTCGCCGCCCTCGATAACCGAGTAGGGAAGAGGAAGAGGTGGCCTTAGGACCTCGGAAAGCCGAGAGAGAGAGAGGAGAGAGAAAAAAGAGAGGGGAATATTATGGCGATCGCATATTTATAGCATTGTTTGATCGATTGATATCATGGATCTGAGCCGTCCGATTAATGTGTTCTTGAGGTATTTGATCTATGGGCGATTGCCATTAAGAATGCCCCACATGGCTAACCCTTAATTAAGGTGGGCCATCAGCCGGGTGGGCCCGAGAACGATAGGAATAAAAAGAAACTAACTTATACATCCTTGCAGTTTTAAAGTGACATATATGCCCCCTTTGACATTTAACATAAAAAAATCCTATTAATCGCTTTTAAATAATTATTGACATAAATCCATTTAAGATATATATATATATATATATATAATATCTAAAAAAATTCGCTTAATCTACTTTCTGGCAATGCAGGTTTTAGGTTTGTTCCCTTCAAATATTCTCTATCTTAACAGTCGTTAGCGAGGAAAGAATTTTAGTAACACTTGTAAGTGAAAAGGCAATGCGTACATTTCATTATATTGATCATTCTGGTAATGAAAACAAGTATTAGCAACTTGGCATCAATATTGATCAAGTTGTTCCCAAGGAGAGTCATCAGAATCAAACGCATGCCTATTGAGTCGGACTAACAATGCACATCAGTAATCGAAGTTTTTCCACGAGACAACATCACGTCGAGCATATCGTTGAACACCTTTCCGCCGAGCAACATGGGCGTATCAACAGAGGATGTCAAGAGGGACTTGCCACATAATTTTGTTTTGGCCATATGTGGCCAAAGAGTGCAATCACGTAGAAGCTTTCTTTCCTGGCGATGAAATGCAAATGGATTATTTCACAGCAAAGAGAAAAATTGCAAACAGCAAAAACCGTCAAAGGAACATTATCAGGAGCCATCACTCACTGAATTACATGGCGCTGTTGGTCAGGTCCTCACAGCTCAGTGAAGCAAAATAATTTTATTTCAGAAAATTCATCTTTGTGCGAGAAATTCACTGAACAGAAGAAGCAGTAACTCAATCGGATTAGTGGGTTTTTTTAAAAAAAAAATAAGCAGGCATGATGACTGCCGTGTCGTTGTATACCTATTGAGCAGCAGCTTTCACTGCTTTTTCTGCTGCATCATCCAAGTCTTCCGCTGTGATCAAAGTCATTCCACTCTCCTATAAATAATGACTTGTGGGTTAATTTTATTTATCACGTGAATGTATGCAAAGACAAACAAAAACGATGGGAGAAAACGTAGCAAAAACTAGGCTGTGAATACCTTGAGAATTCTCTTTCCTTGATCTACATTGGTGCCCTCCAGACGAACCACAACAGGCACTTCAGTGAAACCTGATAAACACGAGTCGCAGGTCAATCATAATTGAGGATACTACACGGTAACAACAAAGTTCTATGCCAAACAACATGGTTACGTAAATCAAGCACTGAAGTAGCAATTTGTGAGAGACACAGTTACAAATAGAGATGGATATTCTCAGGAATTGTCAAAAGAAATAAACCCTATAATGTACTAATTAATCATTAAGTCAACGAGAACTACAAGATGGAGAACACCTTACCAAAAAACCCTTCAGCACCATCCTATCTTCTGGTTTGAACCAAAGAACCCTCACTAAAAATGGTTCCTTATCAAGAAGTACCTCCATCATTATTAGACTTCTTCCAAATCATTACTTGTGGATTTTCTCCCTGTCAAATTTATTATTTGCTTCATCTTTCTACATCATTCAAATTCCAAAGCTGTTTCAAGGACCTATCTTCCAAGAATAATGTGTTGTTTCAATGACCCAAACTCTTTTTCATCCAGATCACATGGAACCTTATGGAATTCCTGAATTCCTCCATAAAAATTTTCAGAAAATTATACAGCCAATCTTTTTGAAGTGTCTCATTTCTTTAAATTGTCATAATTAATTTGGCCACCACAGAGAGCCAGAATCCATGCAATACTATGCTCACCGTAATAAATTCATTTTTTTCATACCAATCTAGATGGTAAGACTTGGTCACTTAGTTCACCACAAGTAGCTTATCCTTAAATGACTGGACACCACTTCATAATATATTTCTATCTTTGCAGTAAGAATAAAAATTAGTTACCCTTTCCAATTAATCACAAATTTTCACAATATCAATTTATATTTCCTCTTCATCGAAATTGTTCTCCATATTAATGGAAAACCATCTAGCTTTATAAAGGATTTCAGAAAAGCTTATTTAAGGCAAAGAAATTAACAGAAAGTCAAACAATTAGTTGGCCTAAAATATCTAAGAGTTGTGTTGAAAATAAAAAGGTCTTTGGTCTTTCTAGGTGATAACCTAGGGACTCCTTTTGTATTAAGCGCATACAAGTTTCTTACGAGATTACTCTTGAAAATCATTGCCTTCCTTGATTATACCAAGACTCCTAAACCCCTACAAATAGTTGAGCTTTTCAATAGATGAATCACTTCAGATTTGAATGAAAAGAATTGCATCTTCTCTCTTCTGGTCTCTCACTATCCTCTCTTGTTATCTTGCTCTCTTGCTTTCTCTCTACTTCTTCCTAGTCCGTTTTGCATCAGCTTGGTATCAGAATCATCAAAAAACCTGTCATGAACTCTAATGGGTCCCGACTAACAACAAAAGCTTCAATTAACACTCACGAATCCTTGCACCTCCAATGTCAACCCATTGTGTGTGGAGTTGGACTTTTGGACAATTGTTCTTACGGAATTAATTGACCACTTAGCTTTCGATACTTGGTATGTTTTGAAAACTTCACTAATATTTTTGTCGAAAAAAAATTGTATTGTTTCATTAAATCATGGTTTTCATCGCTTCTCCCCTCGTTTTCTCTCCCCTTTTTTTCTATTTATCACTCTCTCTCTCCCCTTAACCTACAACTACCAAATTTAACCGAGTGAAATTTGTCCAAAAACTATAAAACAAAAGGTGAGGAAAAAAAGTGTGAGAACCGTTTGAAACATTGCATTTCTACCTTGTGTATTGCAACAATTAACAACCTGTTGACTGAGAAACGAGGAAGCAGCGACGAGCGACGGCAGCGATGAGCGGCAACAGCGACAATGGCAGCGGCGAGCAACGGTAGCGGCAGCAGCAGCGGCAGCGAGAAAGGGAGCGGGAGCGACAAGCAGCGGGAGGCGCGAGCGGCGACAGCTACAACGTTTGCGAGCAGCGGCGAGTAGCGGGAGGCGCGAGCGGCGACAGAGGCAGCGTTTACGAGCGGCGACAGGAGCGACGAGCAGCGGGAGGCGCGAGCGGCGACAGAGGCAACGTTTGCGAGCGGCGACAGCGGCGAGCGGCGACAACGGCAGCGTTTGCGAGCAGCAACAGCGGCGAGCAGCGAGATCGGGATCGGGATCGGGATTGGGAGTGGCAGCGGCAGCGGGTTAGGGTTGGGTAAGGGTTATATCGGTTTAGTTGGTTCGATTGAACCAACTAACCAACCGAACCAGGACCGAACCAGACCTAAAATCCTGGTTCGGTCGCCTTGGTTTACCCAGGCGCTCGCCCGAAGCGCCCAGCGCCTGGGCTCGGGCGAGCGCCCAGCGCCTGGGCTCGGGCGAGCGCCCAGGCGGCGCCTGTTTGAAGCGCGCCGCCTGGGAGATTAGCAAGACGCTCGGGCCTCGCCTCGCCTCGCCCGAGCGCCTAGGCGAGCGCCCGAGCGCCTAAGCGAGCGCCCGAGCGCCTAAGCGAGCGCCCGAGCGCCTTTTTCAATCACTGGTTTTCAATCCCACTGTCATCCTCATTGTCATCATATTATATCCATTTATTCACATCTAGTTTACTCTTCAAATATGGAACCTCATTGTCATATTATTAATGCAAATAGAGAGCACATAAAATAAACTGTTACTTAATAAATCACATGATCTTCTTAAATCTACTAAAGGTGCATTTCCACAAGAATAAAACATGTCAAGATGGATAGTATTCTAACACTTTGCCCATGTGACAATCATTCCCTATATTTCCTACGCCAGTTAACAATCAGAAACCTATTTTACCATATTGTTATATCATATCAAACAAAGTGATGTATGCATCAATCAAACTAACGCTAATCACATTCCTTACACGGAAGCTGAGTGGAAAGAATTGAAATATATTTTCAAGGTTTCAAATTATTTAATATGTGATTCCACCCATGAAGAGTAACAGTTGTGAATAGATGAATGTAGCATGTTGTCAAGTACAGTACAAAGACATGTATGAGGTTCCATACTTCAAGAGTAAACTAGATGTGAATAAATGGATATAATATGATGACAAAGGTAGAGAATAAATGCACCCCTTACCAGCAATATCAGCCACCTCCTCAGTTTTAACAATATGCACTCCACCCTTTAGTCCACTTTTGAAGGTCCCCAAGCCTCTCCCACCAGCAAGAATTTGGCTTTTTACTACAACCTGTAGCAACACCATCAAACCTCAATTATCTATGTTAGAGTGTAAAACACTCTAAAATACGCAACTCATAAATCATCAAAACATTTTTTTGAAATCTAGCCAAAAAGATCTTATGGAACTCGACATTTCACACCATACATAATCATACTTAGAAATCAGTTTCTAATATGTGTTCTAGCTATTTATAAATGAATCACTGATAAAATAATGCACATGACATGATATGTGTGATAGTCACACCAACTTTTATTAGTTGTAGTAAAATGTAATATGCTGAGTAAATAATTACCACTCACATAAATATCTGAACATATTAGCTTAATAGCTTCCAAGAGTTAATATCAAACTCCAGGCAAGAGAGAATAGGTTATTGTACCAGCAGCATTTAAATTTTTTATCAATATCAGATTGTGAAACTGTATTTCTGATCAATCTTATACCCTCATTGATGGAATTCTAGTTATATTTCCCATGCATATCAAACTCCAGGCAAGAGAAAGAATAGGTTCTTGTGTAACAGCAGTATTTAAATTTCTGATCAATATCAGATTGTGAAACTGTATTTCTGATCAATCTTATACCCTCATTGATGGAATTCTAGTTATATTTCCCATGCAAGGAGCATGAAACGATCATAACAACCATTAACATGATTTGTGATCTTTGTGTGTCAGATATACCTTTATAGATTTCCATTGAAACTTCATAGACACAAAAGCAACAGATCAAGTGACAAACCAAAATCTTTAAGAAATCTTGCAGAAAATGTGAAACTTAATCTAATGTTCTGGCTTAGACAAGAAGCACACCTCTTTCCCACTGGGAAATACAGATTTGACAGCCTCCTTCACTTCCTCAATGGATGAAGCTGCGACTCCCTTTGGTACATTTATGCCATACTTGCTCATCAATTCAGCACCCTGCTCCAGAAGCAATGACCTTTACAATTACACATTATGCACCATGGTCATCCCCCAAGTCAATTAAGAGATTATATGTCAAACATTTAAAGCTCCAGAAATGTCATAGAATTCAATATAATCTTTATAAAAGAACACCAACAAAGAAGAAAGGGAAGATTTCAAAACTGATCTGTTGTAAGCAAATATACAATGATAACAACAACAAACAAAGCCCTAGAGTCCCGACTATCTGGGGTCGCTTACATGGATATTTTCCCGCTCTTAAGATCCATAAAGAGTCACATCTTTAGTTACGCTAAAAATATTTAAATCTTTAAATATAGTTTTTATTAATGTCTCTTTGTGTCTCCCTCCACCTCACCTCATATTAGTAATAATTTTACCTCTCCTCATACAAGTAATTGTATTTGCAGGTCTCCTAACAACATATCCGTACTATCTTAAATAATTCTCACTCGTTTAATTTTCAATTGAAGAGACACCTAATTGTTCACAAATGAAACCATTTCTTTTCCTATCTTTCCTAGTAACTCGACACATTTACCTCAACATTCTCATCAAAGCAATACAATCATTTTGTATATATTATTTCCTAATTATCCATCACTTAAATTCTAAAGCATTGATGGTCTAACAATTGTTTTATAAAATTTATTTTAATCTCAAATGTACCCAATGATCATACAAAGCTATTGATGGCCTTGTCATTATATCCGTTTTATTTTTACTTTATGAATAATTTCTTCATCAATCTCTCCATCTTGTTGAATAATTGATTTCAAGATAATTAAACTTTTACTTAATTATTCATTCCTAATAATACTAGGATTGGATCTCATATATTCAATTTTAGTCTTACTTAATCCAAAACATTTATTTTAGGCTGTCTCCACAACTCAAGCCAAGAATTAATTCAATATAAAACTCTAAAAAGATCAATTCAATATAATCTTAAAAGAATAGAACACAAACAAAGAAAAATGAGAACAAAAAATCAATCCGTGTAGGCAACTCTGGAGAATCTAATAACAAGAAGTTCTTGCAAAATATTTAAAAATAATAATTATCCTTCCAATATGGTCTTAAAAAAAGAGGAACGTCAACAAAGGAAAAAAACGGTCTTAAAATAAAAGGAATCAGTCCGTTTAGGCAAATCTTGTGCATCTAATAACAAATATGTGACAACTTGGCTCAATGGTAAAACTAATTAATTCCAAAGACCCAGACCAATCTTCTACCACTTCCGGTTGTCCAATATAACCCAGAATCTAATCTTGGGATGGTGCATGTAAGGCTGTGCCTAATGATGATTCCATGGTGACATATCTCCAATCTCATCCAAGCATAGTTTTAGATCTTTCACTCGATACTATATCCACTCTTGATATTATTTATCACAACCTGACTCGATAGGATAGTTGACCTATTAATTTAATCTGGATTACAATGCAAAAATGATAATGTCCAAACTAATGACAATATACTCATGAAGCCCTTAAAGACCAACTTTAAGTCCTCCGTTTTCGTTTTGAAACTAAACTGTTAATATTACATAACAATACTTGCAAAAATAAAAAATAACTATCCTTCCAATACGATCGTGAACAAAAAGAAAGCCAACAAAGAAGTACAGGAAGATGAAACAACTGATTTGTGTCGGCAAATCTTGAGTATCTAATAACAAACAAGACCCGTAAAAGTTTTAGAAAAGACTATCTAATATGATCTTGAAAGAAAAAAAAAACAAAGAAAAACAGGAACATGAAACAACGGATCCGTGTAGAAAAAGCTAGGTTACAATAAAAAATAATATCTTGAAAGAAACAAAAGAGAGCCAGCAAAGAACGGGAAGATCAAACAACAGATATGCGTAGGCAAAATTTATGTATCCAATATCAATCAAGACGTATAAAATTATAAAAAACGATCATCCTTCCCATATTACACGCATTACACAAAACAATCAAATCTTTCTTCGCCATGTCCTTTGGATCAAAGAATAAGAAACAAAGAAACAACGCATCAGAAAGAAAGTGTCACCAAGTGACACAAGAACATCGGATCAAGACCTGGTACTCATGGACGTTGAGCCGCCGCAGTTGCTGCTTCTGCCACCTCCTAGCGAGGGCGAGAGACCCGGCGATGAGCTTCCCGATGGATCCCCTCACCATTCCTCCCTCCCGACTACGTCTCGACGCAACACTGGAATCCTAGAGTCAAATATTGCTACAACAGACAAGGAGGAGGAGCCGGAGGCCAACAAACCCTAATGCTCTTTCTTCACTGTTCATGCTTCCCTCTCCTCTCACTGTGGATCTTTATCGCTCAGAAAATTAAAATGCCCTTGACGTCATACGTATTTAATAGATTACGGTGTCTTTGATTATTTTTATTTTTAAATCAATAAGGATATATATATATATATATATATATCTTAAATTGTATTCTTATAGATAGGATGATTTTTATTAGTTGAGTAAAAATATCCCCAGCGATACCGCTTCCCCGCCACTTCTCCCTCTCGACTTCGATGGCTTCGTCACTCCTACCGGGCCTCCACCGGCCTCCGGCCAAATCAAGCTTCCCCTTCCCATTCCAACCACGAAAATATCCCAGCCCTATCCCTAGGACTACCTCATCCCCAAGATCTCCCATCTTCGCCTCCCTTTCATCGTCCTCCTCTTCCTCCTGGGAGCGGGAGGAGCAGCGATGGCTTCGGGAGGAGCAGCGCTGGCTCAGGGAAGAGCAGCGCTGGCTACGGGAGGAGTCCCGGTGGGGTGCCGAGCGCGAGGCCCTCCTCCGCGAGATCGCCGCCCTCCGCCTCCAGATCGAGGCCCTGGAGCGAGACCGGCCCGAGCTCGAGGCCATGATCCTGGCGGCCCCGCAGAATGAGGGACGGTCCGGGGCCGCCCCGCCGCGGCCAGCGCTAGTGGAGGAGGCCCAGGTCAAGGAGATGGTTCTTGAGGAGGTAAGAGTTTCGGAAGCCGTGGTGGAGAGGAGAGAGGAGGTGGTGGTGGAGGAGAGGCAGCAGCAGCAAATCCGGCGGAAGACGCTTAGGAAGGGATCCGAGGGAGAGGATGTTCGAACCTTGCAGGTTCTCGCTGGAGTTCATTTCCTTTCTCTTCTTTCTTTTCTTCTTTTATCAATTATATTCGGATTGTGATGGAGCTATTCTATTGTTTAGAATTATTAGAAATGCATTCACGATGATTCTGAGTCAAATTGGGATAGTATTAACATATATCAGACACCAATTCGACCTAAAAGTTTAAGATATTAGATTGTGGGCCAACTCAATATATATCATTAAACTCTCTCAACTTTACCAATGCGAGATTATTCTTTTACTCCTCTTTTCAATTTCTCCTCACGCATGAATAATTCCTAATAAAAATCTTACAAGTATTTTGTGTATCATGTAAGTTTGATTCGCATGCAATGCAATTTTGTCAAAGATATGACTTTCTTTTTCTAATTTTCCTCAAAATACAGATTAGATCTCAGAATGTAGACAACATCTCAACCATAGTTAGAGCAGAATGCAACTTTATGTATGTTATCACCGGAGAATAGGAGCAGATGACTGAAGAGAGAGGAAGAAAAGGGTGTATATTTTTTTGTAGAACCAGATATAAAGTCAGTATTCATCAAATTCAAGTTTTCATTGAAAATATTACTTTCTCAATTTGTTTATGACAACTTATCTATCCTTTATTTATATTTAACTGTATCGAACCTTCTTCTATTAACTATGATTCTTGATTCATATGGGGTTCAAGTTCGGGTTTGACGAAATGTTGATCCAATACCATCTTTTGGATGGAAGTTTTGGCAGATTAGAGAACTATTGCTAGGAAACAAGCGTAAAACTGAAAGAAAAAAAAAAAAAAAAATCCTTTATTGCTTGTAAAGCTAAAGTGCTAACTATAAGACTTAAAACAACAAAATTGAAAATGTGTAAAGAGACTAATAGGCACATAGTGTGCAGGTTGTCTTTGGACAACTCCTAGGTGCTCTTGGTAGTTAGCATATCACTGCCGGTTTCGGTCTCCTCCTCTCTTGTTGCTGGAAACTCCTAAGGTTTAGAGAGTGAGCAATAGGGATTTACGACTTCTCATTAGTAGCTGGACGAAGCTTTAATGTAGAATTTTGGTTGCTAGAACTTGAGATAGAAAAGGCTGCGGTTGGAGGGCAGAATCCTTTTTAGAACTCCTCTTCTTGCAGCTCTTAGTGCAAGATGAAACTAGGGTCGGATGTGGGACTTCTTAGCTGCTTTTTGGTTCTTCTTCTTGTTTCTGCCAAAGGCCTCTTTAGAAGCTATTAAGGCCGGTGGCAACTGAGGAAAAGATCTTTGCATAAAAATGACTGTAGGTATGCTGAAGGGCTGCAAAACTTGCAAACTTCTTCCTATCTTTCTCTCCTCTCTTCTTAGCCCAGGGTGGTTGGCTTCTTAAGAAGGGGCGTGACCTTGGTTCTTTTATAGCTGAGGTAAGGATGGAGTCCTAGCTAGGTTCAGACTTGGAGCTGGACCTATTATGGTTGGACCCAACCTCTTTAGATTTGATTGAGCTCGAGTTGAGTCCAGCTACATTGAATTTGAATCGGAGTTTTGAGTCAAAGTTGGGTTGATCTAAATTGCACTGCCATCGGAACTTGATTTAAGCTAAATTTAAGTGAGGCATGAGCTGACTTAAATCTAGTCTTTGAGCTTGAGATTGGCTTGGTTTTTGTTTGGTTTGATCAAGATTGAACTGGAGTCCAACTGGAACTCCAATTGGCCGAATCGGAGTTTGGCTCGAACTATGCTGGATCATCCCTGATCAATTCATCACACCTTTTAGAACTTGTAAGGTAGACCCACATACCAAGCGATCAAGACAAATTAGTTTAACTCTTATCCAAAATATAAGATAAGCTTTTTATAATAGTCCTAAATCCTAATTGATTTTTAGAGTAGCCCATAAGCTTGAGTTGTTCAACTCAATATATATAAATATAAATATTTATATATTTATATATATATAATGGCAGCACAATTTCTTATGAGTTACTATGAGTGAGTGTTTACATATCACTATAAATGATTGTTTCAGTAGGTGCTTAGATGCACTTTATTGAGCACCTCTTAGCTAACATCAGAACCTTCATACCTTCATTGTGTCATGTATAGTTAATTGTTACTAAGAGAAGCAAACTAATGTCTATAGCTTCTAGGATCCTTGGATAGCAGGAACATGCCCAAAGATTTGTTTAACCACAATTTCACGTATCCAGTAGCTAAATAGTGTTAGTGTGTCATGTGATGTTAACATTGATAATGTGAAATTCTTGTTTGATGCATTTGGGTATAAGGGAATCATGAAACTGTTGTACAGGATTAATTTTGAAACAGTATAATATTTAACTCTTCTAAGCCTGATTAAGCAGGAAGCTTTGCAAAGCTTGGGGTTTTATTCAGGTGAGGAAGACATGGAGTTCTCATCCTTTTCAAGCGGGACAGAACGTGCAGTGAAAACTTGGCAGGTAAGTATTTAGTATCATTTTGATAATGGCAGCAGTAGGAACAATTGGTTGTATAAGAGAACTATGCATATTTAATCAATTTTGTGTACTTATTAACCTTTTCTAAATTAAATTAGTCTCATTCGATGCTTCGTTCATTTATGTTTGCTGATATTTTAATACAGGCCTCGTTAGGTGCTCTCGAAGATGGGATTATGACAACCGAGCTTCTTGAAACGTTATTTAGGGAGCAGGGTAAGGGGGGCACTGCCTTGAAGGTGAATGCTGTATGCATTTTTAAATTTTGTATCATCTTCAGTATGAATGACTGGTAGTTTTATTTCCAGATTCATCTGAATTTGATAGTTTCTCTTAACATTTAGTTGCCCAACTGAATAATATTTGCTTCTGGATATGTGATAAGCAAACCTTGCCACAATAATTTGGTTCATGCTTTGAATTTCCAATTTGCTTTTCAATTTGCACTCTATTTCTCCACTTGGGTCGAGATCGTGACTACCCGAGTTATATTTGCCCCCCAGGATGATGCAAATGGAGCAATGTCCACATCTATAACAGAAATGACAGAGATTCAGCGGAAAGTAGTGAGAGAAAATGGTGATGCACAATTTGATGTTTCTCAACACAGAGTGTTTCTTCTGGGGGAAAACAGGTGGGAAGAACCATCAAGGCTTGTGGGTAGGGATAAACCACTTGACGGAAGGGAGACTGCATCTCTTACAAAGTGTGTCTCTTGCCGAGGGGAAGGCAAATTGATGTGCACAGGTATCTGAAAACAACTCCTACGTCCTCCTGAAGTCATTTTATACTAATTATTGCTGTTTTGTATCTTTTTATAGCATTTAAAACATATGCAACTTCAATATTGATTCTTTGAGTCTTTTCTGTCATTGTTGTGTTGTGCTGTAACTCTTCCATTACGATATCCATCTTTTTATAGCATGAACTTAAAATTTCCATGTGTGGCACCTGTCAACACTCCATGAGCAGCTGGTTTCCAAATGACAAAAGTGCCTTTAACCTGCCTCCTTTCACCGACTGACACTGTTGCTTGTCTCTATTCTAATAATGATATTCATTCATACTGTTAAAGAAACCAAATTTCTACATCCAAAGTAATGTATTGACATACTGAATTCTTTTTGTCCTCCCTATGGGTCCCAGTTGGTTTATTCTTGTAATAATTTCCCAAAACTATCCGTTTGGTTTTATTGCAACAATTTGGTCACTTTCTTGGTAAGACTATGATCCGTTTCAGTGAATCTTTCTTTATTTTTCCTCTTCTTTTGCAGAGTGTGACGGAACCGGCGAACCAAATATTGAACCACAGGTCTGATTGGTTTGATGTTTATAGATTATGCTTATATCGATCTGATTCTTTGTCTGCTCCTGCACTAATTGTTTAAACTTTTTCTTGTTTTTCTTCTGGCCATCTTCAGTTTCTGGAGTGGGTTGATGAAGGTACAAAGTGCCCATACTGTGATGGATTAGGCTACACCATTTGTGATGTTTGTGAAGGTAGGACGACAGTGGAAGCGTAGCTATTTATGGAAACATTGGAGTTCCCCACATGTTAGATGAAAGCTAATACATGATACGTACATGGGATTTTTTGCATGTATCCCTAAATTTCCCCAAAGTTGTAACTTAAGACAGGAAAAATGTGAAAATGCATTTATGTTCTTTCTAGTTTTAGAAGTTAGTTCATTAAGCATATTTAAATATGGATATAATTGTTGGACCGAAAATAAGTCATTCTAGATAATGGAGATATTATTGAATAATTAATAATATTTTTTATTATTTAAATTTGGGAAGACAATGGAGAGAGAGAAAATAGAGTTAGACGAGTATGAATAAGGAGGAGAAGACTAAGGGAGAGGATGAGGAGGGAAAGGATATTTAATTAAACTAATTTAAAATTAGCTTAATTTGCTTAATTGGGGAAGTATTCAAAAGACATCAGTTGTTGAATTGGGTTGGGTTTGGTTTATGTATTTTTTATATTATTTATATAAAAAAAAAAGTATTATTATTTTAAGTAAAGATGAATCGGAGGGCATCATCAAATAAAAAAAACAAATAATGAGAACGTTTTTCTGATATATTTTTTTTGCTTTACTTTTGATATTAGAAGATATTTTCTTTTTTTAGAATTAAAGCTACTCGGTGCCATCCAGCTTATGATGCACATAACAGGCAGTGCCACTTTAATAATGTAGCCTTTGTTGCACTGCACACCCCATAAGACTCTTATTTCCTCCGTCCATTTATTGGAATACACTGGACGAAGTGGCGGACTGCCGCACCCCATGCACGCACAAAGCAAAAGGATAACTAACCACAACGTGCACAACTTGGTGCCGTTCCATATGCTCTCCTTATCCCAGGGTGGCGGTAATGGCGAGAGCCATGGCGGCCACCCTACCAAAGTCCCTGCCCTCGTGCGCCAACGGCGACGACGAAGTGCCGTCTCCCATCTCCCTGAACGCGTCCTCGCAGTTGTCCGGCGCGTCCACGGCGGCGCTGAGGAACACCACCGCCTCGCGGTACCGCCCGGCGCCGAGGTTCCGCATGGCGACGTTGAGGTGGTCGATGGCCGCGTCGTAGACTTCCCAGCAGACGCCCAGGCAGTCTGTCGACCAAGGATTAGGCTTCGCTCTGGTCATGTTGGTGATGGCGGACAGGGCGGCGGAGGCGCCCGCGACGGAGAGCCTCGCGGCGATCATTGCCAGGCCGCGCCGGTCCGCCGAGGCGCACGCGGGGTCGGCCTGGAGCGATGCGACGCAGAATTCGTAGCCGATGCCGGAGCGCGATGTCGTGATTCTCCTGCATGTGTCTTGGAGAAGGGTAGCATCGCAAGGAGGGGAGATCGTTAGAAGAAGTACGGTGGAGAGGAGGAAGACGAGCGCGAGCATGCTGGGCTTTGCTGCGGTTCCTTCCATCGTGAACAAAGGAAGGCTTTTTAAGAATGCGTAAGCGCAGTGGAGTCGAGATTAAAATGTTTGTGAGGGAGACTTGTAGAGAAGCAGCAGCAAGTGGAAGAAGCTTAAATATCTACACTAGAGAGTTGTGTAGATTAGTAGCTTATGGAGTAATGGAAGGATGACACAGAATCAAGAGGCAATTAATTAATAATTATTAATGAGGAATTTAATCCATGAGAAATAGATTTTGAATTTAATTGCTTAGAAATTTC